TGCTGGGTCAAATGGTATTTCTGGTTCTAGATTCTTGAGGAATAGCCACACTGTCTTCCACAATGGTTAAACTAATTTACACTCCCACCAAAAGCATAAAAGTGTTCCTATTTTTCCACATCCTCTTTGGCATCTGTTGTTTCCTGATTTTTTTAATTGCCATTCTAACTTGCATGAGATGGTATCTCATTGTGGTTTTGATTCGTATTCAAGAATGGTTTTGTTTTGTTTTTTTTTTTTTAGAAACATTATATATCAGTAAAGGATCAGTTCAGTGACAGAACATATAACAATTCTACACACATATGCACCCAACACTGGAGCACCCAGATTCATAAAGCAAATATTACTAGATCTACAGGAAGAGATAGACTGCAATCTATTAATACTGGGTTACTTCAACACTCCCTTCTCATCATTAGACAGATCATTTAGACAGAAAATTGACAAACATTGGATTTAAACTGGATTTCAGACCAAATGGACCTAACAGACATTTAGAGAATGTTCTATTCAACAACCGTAGAATATACATTCCTTTTATTAGCAAATAGAACATTTTTCAGAATATACAATATGTTAGGCTGCAAACCAAGTCTCAACAAATTTTAAAAAATGACAATTGTATCAAGTATCTTCTCAGGCTACCATGAGATACAACTAAAAATCAATACTAAGAACTTTGAAAGCTGTACTTTTAAAATTAACATGCTTCTGAAGAAATTAAAATGTAAATTACATTTTTGAAACAAATGAAAATGGAAACATAATATACCAGAACTTGTGGGATACAGCAAAAGCAGTACTAAGAGGGACATTTATATCAGTGAATGTCTACATCAAAAAAAGTAGAAAGATTACAAATTAACAATCTCACATTATACCAGAAGGAACTAGAAAAGAAAGAACAAATCAAATCCAAAATTTGCAGAAGAAATAATAAAGATAAGAATTAAATGAAACGTAGACTGAAAAAAGTACAAAGGATCAACAAAACAAAAAGTTGGTTCTTCAAAAAGATAAACAAAATTGATAAACTGCCAGGTAGACTAATAAAGAAGAGTAGATCCAAATAAAATCAGAAATGAAAAAGGAGACATTACAACTGATACTACAGAAATACAAAAGTTTAATAGAGACTATTACAGACACATACATACTAACAAACTGGAAAATCTAAATGAAATGAATAAATTCCTAGAAACATACATCTTTCTAAGATTGAATCAGAAAGAAATGGAAAACTTGGACAGATCAATAATGAGTAGTAAAATTGAATCAGTAATAAAAAGTTTCCTAACAAAATCCCAGGACTGAATGGATTCATTGCCAAATTCTACCAAATGTATGGAAAAATCCCTACCAACAATTTTTCTGAAACTATTCCAAAAAATTAAAGGTGAGACAATTCATTCAACAAGGCCAGCATCAAACTGATACCAAAACCAGACAACGATATGAGGAAAAGGAAAATGACAGGCTAATATCCCTGACAAACATGGATGGCAAAAATCCTCAACAAAACACTAGCAAATCAAATCCAACAGCACAGCAAAAATTTAATACACCACAATCAAGTAGGATTTATGACAGGGATGCAAGGATTGCTAAATATATGTAAATCAGTAAAAATGATATGTAGACTAACAGAAGGACAAAAACCATATTGTCTCAATAAATGCAGAAAAAGCATTTGATAAAATTCAACATCATGATGAAAACTCAAACTGGGCACAGAAGGAACACACCTCAAAACAATAAACGTCACATATGACAAACACATAGTTAACATCATACTAAATTGGCAAAAGTTGAAACCCTTTACTAAGAATTTGAATAAGGCATGAATGACCGATTTTATCCTCTTATTCAGCTTAATACTGGAAATGTTCCCTGAGCAATCAGGAAAGAGAAAGAAAAGGCATTCAAATTGGCAAAGATGAAGTCAAATTGTTTTTCTTTGCTGATGATATAATCTTATATCTAGAAAAACCTAGAGACTCCATCAAATAACTCAGATCTGACAAAGGAATTCAGTAAAGTTGCAGGACACAAAATTAGGATACAAAAATCAGTAGCATTTCTATACACTAATAATCATGTAGCTGAGAAAGAAATCTCATTTACAATAGATCCCCCAAGAAAAGCCCCCCAAAAACTAGGAATAAATGTAACCAAGGAGATAAAAGATCTCTACAAGGAAAAGAACAAAATATTGATGAAAGAAACTGAAGGTGACACAAATAGAAAAGCATCCCATACTCATGGATTGAAAACGTTACTATCATTAAAATGACCACATTGCCCATGGCAATCTATAGGTTCAACACAACTCCTATCAAAATACCAATTTATTTTTTTTACAGAATTAGAAAATCCCTAACATTTATATGAAACCCAAAAGAGCCTAAATAGCCAAAGCAATCCCGAGCAAAAAGAACAAAGCTGGAAGCACCATGTTACCTAACTTCAAAATGTATTACAAGTAACCAAAAACAGTACAGTACTGGTTAAAAAAAAAAAAATAGACATATAGACTAATGGACCAGAATAGAGAACCTAGCAATAAAACCACATATTTACAGTCAACTGATCTTTGACAAAGCTGGCAAGAACTTACAATAGAAAAAGGACACCCTCTTCAATAACTGGTGCTGGGAAAATTGTACAGCCATATGCAGAAGAATGAAACTAGACCCGATCTCTCACCATATACAAAAATAAACTCAAGATGGATTAAAGACGTAAATGTAAAACCTAAAACTATGAAAATACTAGAAGAAAACCTAGGGAAAACATTTCTGGACATTGGTCAAAGCAAAGAATTGATAAGTAAGACTTCAAAAGCATAGCCACCAAAGACAAAAGTAGACAAATGAGACTATATTAAACTAAAAAGCTTCTGCACAGCTAAGGAAACAATCAACAGAGTGAGCGAACAACCTCTTGAATGAGAAAATATTTGCAAACTGTTCATCTGACAGGGGACTAATATCCAGAATACAGAAGGAACTCAACAGTAAAGAAGCACAAATCCCTTTAAAAAGTAGGCAACGTTAAGTGTATAGACATTTCTCAAAAGAAGAGGTACAAATGGCAAACAGGTTTGTAATCAGTAATAATCAGAATGATATAATCTATACTGATATAGTTTATTACTGATTATTTGCCATTTGTGTGTCAAACAGGCTTATGATCAGTAATAATCAGTAATGTATATCAGTAATAATCAGAGAAATGTAAATCATATCCACAATAAGATATCATCTTTTTGCCATTCAGAATAGCTGTTATTAAACAACACATGCTGGCAAGGATGCAGAGAAAAGGAAACTCTTTTTACACTGTTTGTGGGAATGTAAATTAGTACAGCCACTATAGAAGACAGTATGGAAATTTCTTTAAAAACTAGGAATAGAACTATCATTCAATCCAGCAATCCTACTACTACCTAAAAGGAAAGAAGTCAGTACATCAAAGGGATCTCTGCACTGTCTATTTATGGTAGCACTATTCACAATAATAGAGACATGGAATAGCCTACATGTCCATGAGTAGACGAATGGATAAAGAAAATGTGGTTTATACACATAATGGAGCAGCCATAGAAAAGAACAAAATCTTGTCATTTGCAGCAACATGGATAGCACTCAGGGGTATTATTTTAAGTGAAATAAGCCATGTACAAGAAGACAGATATCACATGTTCTTGGTTAAAAGTGGGAGCTAAAAAATTTGATCACATGGAGGTAGAGAGTGGAAAGACAGATAACAGAGACTGAAAGGGTAATTTTGGGGAAAGGAGAATGAAGAGAAAGGGGTTAAAGTCTACAAACATACAGTAAGATAGAATGAAGTCAGTACTTGGCCACATGCAGTGGTTCACACCTGTAATCCCAGCAGTTCTGGAGGCTGAGGTGGGCGGATCATCTGAGGTCAGGAGTTTGAGACCAGCCTGGCCAACATGGTGAAACCCTGTCTCTAATAAAAATACAAAAAATTAGCCAGGCGTGGTGGCATGCACCTGTAACCCCAGCTACTCAGGAGGCTGAGGTGGGAGAATTGCTTGAACTCAGGAGGCAGAGGTTCCCGTGACCTGAGATCATGCCACTATACTCCAGCCTGGGTGACGGAGCAAGATTCCATCTCAGAAAACAAACAAACAAAAATTAGTAGAGTGACTATACTTAAGAAAAATGTTGTACTTGGGTGATGGATACCCTAAATACCCTGAGTTGATCACTATGCACTATACATACCTAACAAACTTTCTCACATATCTCATAAATGTGTATCAAAAAAAATTCATTAGAGTAAAATGCCATATGGAGGACACAAGTTCCTTTTGAAACAGCATAAAAAGAAGCCCCTTCAAAAAACCGTATTTGTTGCATACATATGCAAGGGAAAGTGTGGATCCTTTAAAGAATGAATTTTGGATGAGAAAACTAAGGAAACTACCTGGTAAGAGAGGAGAATTGAGGCAGGTAGCCTCTAATATATGACAAAAGTATCTTTGTTCTTTGAAACAGAATTCTCCTAGTCAAACCAAAATAACGTAAATGAGTTAATTCTTTTCTACGCATCTCTTGTGAATACTTTCTCATTCTTTCAACAAATTTGGCTGTATTGACAGGGGAGGGAGAAAGTCCCTGACCCCTTACTTGATAAGCTGAGTGACTGAAGTTAGTAAGGAAATGTCTTCACGAAACAAGCACTCCCCTCAAATCAACTTTGGGAAAAAAAGATGCTTCTCCAGACCTTCTTCTTCTGCTTCTTTTTATTTTTTTTTTAAATACTCGCCTCCAGATGGCCTTTAAACCAACAAAATCCATCTACCATTCTCCACACTCTAAGGATTAGGTGCCTTGTTAAAAAATGACTTTTCTCACTAAGTCTGGCTCTTACACAGCTGACGAGTTCTGGGCAGTGGAATCAGGCAGGACTCAAAGATAAGCTAGAATTACCCATAGTGGAAGGGTTTTTTAAAAAAACTTTTAAAGACCATTTTTAAAAACAATTTATATAAATAAATTTATATACAATGAAGAAACACATATACAGAGCACCCCAATTACCAGTACGGTGGACCCTAGCCCTTCTTTTCTGCATTGGGAAACAGAACAGAGAACAGAACAAATGATTCCATCTTCCTCTTAACTCTTTCCACCTATGTGCTCAGTTTTTCAAGTAGAGTTTCTATTCCTTTGCTGGTGTTTGGTTTTTTCCAATGTAGGAATCAAGCTTTTCAGTTCAGCTTTGACTTTGCAACTTCTGGGTCATAACTCTGGAGGAGGCTGGAAAGAATAATGGTACCTTGATTTACGCTAGCCCAAGACTTTTGGTTCTTCATACCAACATGCTCTACAAGTGTTTTTGCAAAACAACCTTCTCTCCCATTTTCTTTCATCTTTTTATCTTGTTCTATTAGCCACTTCAGAACTAGATGTCCTGCAGGATGTTCTGCCGTGTGAAGCTCTCCATCCTGCCAGCAGGATGCAGTTCTGTTGCTGCCAAGCTGGCGATGGCATTCATGGCAGGCTGAAAATCTCCAATGGCAGATCCCAGAATGTCAGACATCAACACACACGCACACTATCTAGCACCACCTCTTGGGGGTGTTCTTGCAGGTAGCTTAACAAAGCTGGAGAAATGGATTCTAGGAGCTCCCGTCTGTGGACCTCTATATCTTTCTGTTTGCATTTCCATCTCCTTTTTGCATAACTTCAATGATTTCTCGAACTGTATGTGCAGGATCTCTGGGGCTTAGTAAGTATAATTGGACCTTCCTTCCATATTTATCATTTACTGTGTTAAGCAACAAACGAATAATTTCTGATATGATTATCTGCTTCACAAGCTTAGTATCATCAATACAATCAAATGCCGCCAGTAAAACCAAATGGGAGTATTGGCCATTAGCCACCTTTTCAACATAAGTCTTCATTGTTTTCACAATCACTTTCCTGTCTTTGGGGGTACTGTGCGACAGGCACTTCATGGCCACTCTGGCGCCATCGTGTGTGTGTGCCAGGTATACCAGCGCTTCACAGATGGCCTCTATCATTTCTGATCTGAGTTTGGGGGGTACATAGGTAAAAAAGACCAAGAATACTTTATGCACCAAAAAGTGCTTAATCACAGCTTCCTTTTGGGTCATTGAAGTTAGAATCTGTTTCATTTCATCCATAATAAGCTCTAATTTTTCTGGCTGTACCTCTAATACTTTGTCCAGAGTTGAGTGATCTACTGACTTGTAAAGCTGAAATGTGTTCCCATAGGGTTTTTATGATAAACCAACTGAAAAGAGTGAGGAAGGAATGGGTGGTACTATGTGACAAGGTAGCTATGTGTGCTTACCAGAAAAGATATGTCCTTGATGTATATTTCCAGGAGAGGCAAGGGGCCAATAAAGCTTTGTGAATGGTGGCTCATCTGTCATTTCTATCTGTTTCCTCTGTTCAAGTCCACCTGCGGGCTCAGAAGCAGCATGCCTGCCCACACCTTCATTTATAGTATGCTAGCATCACCAGCCGCCACTAGTAGAGGTCGTAGCAGAATGGGGCTCTAGCAGCACAGGCTTTTGAGCTTGTGGAGTCTTACGTTCTCCCTGCCCTGGGCAGGGGAGATTTGCAAATGTGGAGTGGGAGGTTCCCAAGGTTCAGCCAGAAGATAGACGGTGAAATGAGGGTTGACAATGTGCTCAGAGGTTTGAAATTAAAAGAAAACAAAAGCCCAGTCATTAGATCGCTGTGTTTTAACAGTGATGTTGCTGCTTCACTTAATATCCTGGCTTGCAGAGTATCTTGGCTTGCAGAGTCCTGGAGGAATCTCCCAGTCAATGAGCTCAGAGATTACTAAATGGTAGTTCCTGGGTGGCACTATTTGAATCAGATTTGGCCCAGGCTGAGCAGAGAGAAATGTTGAGAAGGGGAATTCCTTTACTTCATGCATGATGAAAATAATTTCTCTGCCAATTGGGAAGGAGTGGAGGGCTGGAAGATTCCTATAATTATTGTTTAATATCTTGCAGTTCTAGTAAGTGTTTCAGCTGGAGTGAACTGATATTAATATATGGGATGATTCACACGGCAGAGAATGGGTAGAGATAAGGAGGATTTAGCCTCAAGCTCCCTGAAGCCATGTGGAACTGGATAAGGACAAGTATGTTTGTCTGATGCCTGCCAGGCCACCTATCCCCACTCCTCTTGCCTACCACTTCCCTGCCTTTCTGATGTACAGGAAAAAGTATTTTCCCTTAAGAAGAGAAGGCAAGAAGTGGAAGGTGAGACTTGGAAAACAGAGTTGGCCTTAGATCTAAGCAATATGAATTCAAACTTAGTGCACGTGCTATTACTGAGAGCCTTCACAGAACACTGGAAGGGACAATCTAAGATTAGAGGTGCTTTACTTTATAACTGATTTATACTGTCTACACATGGAGCAAAGTGAATATACTAAAAAGTCAGTTGGAAGAAAAAGTGAGTGAATATCTAGACTATTTAACAACAGAAACACTTTGGCCTTAATTGTTTGAGTATTATCTTAGATGCAGTTTAACATTATGACTAACCATCTTAAAAGTGTCATTAAAAATAATTTTTATTCCCTTTTCATTGAGGTGGCAGTCATTCAAGTACTAAAAAAACTTCAGGAGGACAACACTTAGAGTGCATTAAATAAATATAAATTTTATTAAAAACACTCACATAGCGTTATCAGGAATGATATAATAATAGCTTTCAAATAACCTGCATTCATAACATTACAATACTTACAGTATTTATAACCATCCTCAGATCTTATAAACAAACCAAACATCTCATGAAAATAAAATGAAACTAGTTAAAAAAAAATAAAGCATAGAAAAATGCACACAAAAGTTCATTATCTTAGTGTCAAACTGCAAGAGTTTTCTACACAAGTTAACCACTAGCTTTAGAAGTGAACTGTACATCACTGTGCGTCAATCAAGATGAAAAATTCATTCAAGTAAAGTTGACACCACTCAGAAGCATTTTCAAGTATGGCTATATAGTCAACCTGATATTCCTATATTAGCAAATTGTAGATCTGCTTTCCATTCATTCTAACTGAGGCAGGTTTTATATTTACAATTATAGATCTGATATTTACAATATGCCATTCAATTCCTTCTCTTCCTTATGTAACCTCTCCCCAACCCCCAAACTATGCTTCCTGCTCTTTTCGGCCAGCAGTTTAACAAATGACAGTAGGTGACATAGAAATCAAATATTAAGAATGGCTAATCAAAATCACCAAATGTACATACAAATGTTTTGAGCTAGATATTATGGTAATAATATATAAAACATTAAAATCATGTGGTTTGTAAGCAAAGCAAAGATTTTTGGACATGTCTGTAAATTGGACAAAATCACAAATTTGATAAATCTTTTAAAAAGACAAAAGCCATCTTATAAGGATTTGACCAATAAAACCCAAAGGCCTCCTCTGATTAAGAATTTATTTTAAATACTAGTAAGCAAAAATGTATTTAGGTCAAAATGTAATTGTACAGTCTATTGCACACCATACCTGTAGGTGTCTGCCTGTTTAAGGGAAGTCCTTATGGAGTATATACCTTCAGTGATTACAGGATCAAAAAAACTTCATTTAGAGAGTTAAAAGACTCTGGCCAAGAGCCACTTGCCAAACTCTCCTGCCTTACAATTTTCCCTTTATCAACTCAGTGCATTCTATTTTCATGTAATTTTTTTTTTTCCTGCTTGAAACAGTCAAAAGATTCCTCAAACTTTTAAAATTCTTTTCTTTACAATAAAAAGAGCCAACAGATTTACAAAATTAGTTTTAGTTACATCAGTACATGTACAAGTAAAATAGAAGGGATTCAAAATAAAAGGGTTAAATCCCTGACAAGGAATATATTTATTAACCTACAACAATTTTACATAAACACAGGTGACATGTTGGCATAAGGAGAACATGAGCTGAAATATCCCTGAATTTTTAGAACAAAAAGGTTGAAGTTCAAGTTATACTTGCTAAGAAATCAAGTATTGAAAAAAGTTTTTTTTTTTTTTTTTTTTTTTAATAATAAAAAAAAGGACTTGGAAAAAAAATGATGGTACACAATGCTTTCACTCTCAGTTCAATATCCTATTGCCAAACTAGTGTTGAGGTATATGACAAGTAGGAACATCACTCAAACATTTAATGACTTCTTAGCTCACATTATGATATATTTGTAGCAGGCTGAGTAGCACCATCATGATGTGAATTCTGCTTCAAACTCATATATATGTATATAATTTTTTTTACAGTACTAAAATACTAAAGCATTGCGTTAAAAAAGTTTTGTTTACAATTTAATTTACTATACAACTCTTTCACTTCTTCTTTATACAAATTAATGATTTAAAACCACCACAGCAAACCAGCTGCCTGTTTTTGTTTCTTTTTAACTGACAGATTCACATGGAACTAACCCTGTTTATTCATCTTACGCAGGCATCAGTCTGCTCACTCTTCTTGTTAGAGAGGACACTTAAGCTAAGAAATGGCAACATCACAATGTACATAATTATCAACACAAAGGCAGACTGCCATTCAGTTCTCTGAAGAGCATACAGATCCATCAAATAGCATAGGCTTCAGTGAACTAGCTTTGCTGAGTCTGTAGCATGCGGCTAATTATTACCTGCAGTTAATAGAAAATTCTTAAAACTGTACATATTTGAGCAATGAACTTGTCATACAATTTTGTAGAAAACTGTTTTACAGTATAGCATGTGAGATGAGCACCAGAAAACATGTTTTGTGGACTAACGTATTCCCTTGAATCCAGTAAGCCCCACTGTGGATTTAACTGGCTGTGTTAAAAATGGACACATTGCTCATCAGCAGATGCATGGCTAAAAGCAAAAATATTTTAAAAGCTTTCCTCGTTTCCTTAAAAAAATCAACTTTGCATTCTAAAATGAAAGTAAACTTGTTTTTTAAACATCTTAGTACCTTAGCATTGTTCAAGTTGTCAAAGCTTAGGTAGACAAAGTGCTTCTAAAACACCATTTAAAATATTTATACATATACATGTGTGTGCACATATACATGTTTGTGTATATATGTACATATATACGTTTATTGTCCTACAAGGACTTCACTGGATGAGCAAAATCCAGAGGCCTTTAAAATGTCCACATTTTAAAAACTAAGCTTGTGTAAGAATAGATAAGTATGATAAAAACTTGAATGAAAAGGTACCCCTATTACTTAAGGGCACTGGAGTACACTGACAGCATCTTGATGATATAAAGGCATTAAATTTTCAAATATTAAAGACACCATTTTCTTAGCACCATTTCTTAAAACATCCAAACAAATTCAGTGTTTTCCTGTTACTCATTTATGCTTCCTGTAGCTATTTTGATAAATAAACGTTAATATTAAGATTACAGTAAAAACTGCATTTCAGAAAGCCATATTTCCAGTATTTCAGTACATCATATATTCAGCACCAGATGGTATTTTAAGATTCCTGTCACTGTAATACTACAGTACTTGTTTGATTTATGTTCCATGACTATGCAAACTTGGTATTATTAAAAGTAGTCACAGATGTGTAGACTTGTAAGGGGGGGAAATCACATTTACATATCATCTCGTCCAATAATAGAACCAGTGTTTAAAAATGTAAATTGCAGAACACTTTCTTCCCCACCTTCTTTTTGCATAGAATGCTTTGGTCTTTTCCTAGATGCCATCTGTGACCACTTGGGAGTCAGTGAAAATTAAGTGCTATGGTAAGATTACCTCTTTTTTTTTGCTGGTGAGCTGAGGTTTTTCCCACCACACTTGTCATAAATACTGTGACCTTTCCCCACTGCCCACGTCACGATAACTACACTACTGACAGGTTGGTTGTGGTCTTTTCAAATGAGGTAACCAACAAAAAGGGGTGATATCATATATATCTGTTGTAAGGCCCTGTGACCCGAGTGAAGGCATATGGAGATGTAGTTACTGTGGAGTCTGTGGTCACGGACATGGTCCTTTCAGCAAGGGACTTGATGAAGCGCAGGTATGTGGGCTCTGAAGGTTCATGTGGCTCAGTGGGCTCCCGTTTCACTTTTTTGCCATGGGATTTTTGAGGCACATAGTCTGGGCCATACTTTTCAGACTCTTCCTCTTTCTCACGGGCTTTTTCAGCCATTTTGGCTTCCCAAAGAGCCAAGCCATGTTTTGGTTCGTTCATGCTCTTATGCTGGTAAAAGACGAGTGAGATCCTGGTGGGGTGATTCCTGT